AAAGCTAATCTGTTATACAGATAGCGCAAAATAAAGATCTAAGCTAAAAGAGATCTAAAGGAAGATAACCCAATCAAAATTGTTACATAAGTAAGAATAATAATTTTATATTATATATCTTAATCTTGATCAATACTCAAATATAATATGACAGATAACATTTAATACTACATATCTTATTCTTAGGTAATATTCAAGTGAATTATATAAAGATCATGAATATTATTTTGGTATTAGGTGCCTTAACTCTGGCCTATATAGAGTAATTAATTAGAAAGCTAGGACACTATATACCCAGTTTGGATATAACTCTCATATCAGATCTGCAAATGATAACACATAACTAAATGCATTATCAAGCACTATTTTTTTGCATAATTCACATGTAATTAATATTATGAAATCAGTCATATTAATTATGATACTACATGTTTGACTCATATATAATTAACATTATGAAATCAGCCATGTTAATTATGGTACTACATGCCTAACTTGCATGTGATCTGATAACAGAAACTCTTCATCATCATCATTCAAGAAATAAGATAAATAGAAATTGATTGTCAAGTCATGACATATTATATTTATTTTTGATATATATCTTGATGACTCTTTGGGATGATGACACAAACACAAATCTGTCATCATATTTTTATAGGTTATAGGTACCCAAGTATGATAACAAACTTGTAAACTCATCGTTACTTGAATGATAATGCATATATAATCTTATCATCATATCTGAGTAGATTATAATATAATCTAAGTAATTAATAGTTTTCAGGAAATTATTAACTACTTATTTAATTAATTATTATTAATTTATTTATATTTTATATTTATTTCTTTTTTTATAAATAAATTCTTTCTGTTCTGTATTTTATCTTAGATTTAAATACTATTCAAATAATAAAAATTATAAGTTTTATAAATTAAACTATTCACTTTGTATTTTATTTTATTTATAATTATTAATAAATAATTTTACATTAACTAAAAGAAGATTTAATAGAAAAAAAAAGCTTTTACAATGAATATATCATATAATAGATTAATTATCTCAATAAATTATAAAAGTAAAGTAAAATATTGAAAAAAATAATTATAATATACTCAAAAATATAAGAATAAAATTTAAAAAGAAATTATATTTAAAATTAAAGAAAAAGTATTGCTATTTAATATAAAATAATATTTAATAATTAGAGATAAATTTTAATTTACTTAAATTAAATAAATAATATTATATTTATGATTATATGAGATATAATTCTTATAAATTTCAAACTTAAAATGAGAAAATACTTAAATATTCTATTAATAAAAGATAACTTGAACTTTATTATAATTGACAAGATTATTTTGAATCACAAATAATTATTAAGTAATTTACAAAAATATACTTTATTTTTGTATTACTTAACTTTAAATTTAACTTCTGTTTATTTTATTTATTCTTTTATATTTATATTATATTAAAATTTTAATATTAATATTATATTTTTAATAATTTAGAAAATATATAAATATTCTCTTTCTATTCTTTTTATTTTTCATATTTTTTTATATTTTATATTTTTATTTATTTTTTTATATTTCTAATTTTCATATTATTTATCTTATTATTATATCTTAATTATTAACTTGAATTTCAACTTAAATTATTAAATTTTTTGAATAATTATACCAAGAACTATTTGTTTAATAATATTTTGAAATACTTATTATTTTAATCTTTAAATTAATTATAAATAATAATAAAAAATAAGAATTTTATATCTCTCTTTTGGATTTAATCAATTAATTTGGATCTGCTAAAGATAATAAAGTAAATAATACTTATCTTTTGAAAACTTAACTATTAATTGAATTTACTGAATTATTTTTAGAATTATTTTTAGAATCACTTAATTTGATTATAGAATTAAACTTTGATTGGATAAATAAATTTATTATTCCTGTTCAGAAAGATATATTTGAAAATATTCTTTTAAAAATTATCAAAAAAGAAATAAAATTTGTAAATTCTGATAATTTATCATCAACTGAAGAAAAACCTGAGTTATCTATTAGTACTTCTCAAATAAATCAGATTTTAAAAAAAGATTGATTAACAAAACTTGAAGAAGTAGTACTTGAAATTTATAATTAATTATCTAATAATAATGAAAAGATTATTCATTATTATAAACTTGAATATATATTATTAATTCAATTACAAAAATATAGAAAGTATATTCAAGAAATTAAAAGAGGAATTAATAATAATCTTGGAAAATAAGTATATAAAAAACCATATAATATTGCTTAAAAAGTATTTAATATTTGTCAGTCTAAAGAAGAAGTACTGATAATAAATTCAATTTTATAACTATTCAAGTTATTTTATTTGAAAAGAAAAGAGATATTTAAACTTATTGCTTAATTTTTGTAGGAGCAAAATCTTTTCAAGAAGAACCAAATATTACTATAATAATATAAATTTTTTTAATTCAATAATCCTTTTTTAATTATCAATTCTACACTATATATTTTTGTTAGTAATAATTTATTTAACTAATCCATTATTCTATCTTTTATTTAGATTATTTAGATTGTAAAAATCAATGATTTTATTTTGCATCTTTCATTTTGATTTTCATAATTTATTTAACTAATCCATTATTCTATCATTATTTAGAACGTAAGAAATCTACGAATTTATTTTGTAGCTTTCTCTTTGATATCAATAATTGATTTGACTAGTCTTTTATTTAGATCGTAAGAAATCTACGATTTATTTCATTTTTTTAATTTTTTTTGATATTAATAATTATTCCATTATTCTATCTTTTATTTAGGAAGTAAGAAATCTACGATTTTATTTTGCAGCTTTCTCTTTGATATTAATAATTGATTTAACTAATCCATTATTCTATCTTTTATTTAGATCGTAAGAAATCTACGATTTTATTTTACATACTTCATTTTAATTTTATTGATATTAATAATTTATTTAACTAATCCGTTATACTATCTTCTATTTAGTTGGTAAGAAATCTACAATTTTTGTTTTGCATCTTTCATTTTAATTTTCTTTGATATTAATAATTTATTTACTATCCATTTATTCTATCTTTTATTAGTTGGCAAGAAATCAGCGATTTTATTTGCATCTTTCATTTTAATTTACTTTGATATTAATAATTTATTTAACTAATCCGTTATTCTATCTTTTATTTAGGGAGTAAGAAACAACGATTTTATTTTGCATCTTCATTTTAATTTTTTGTGATATTATTTTTAATTAAACAATATATTATTATCATATTACTAGTAACAAGATAAAATCATTTTACATCTGATTATTTGGAGTCTATGATAGTTCTTTCTCGGAATAGTATTACAAGAAATAATAAAATAATAATATTATTAATTTTTATATTATGTTTTTAATAGTTTTTTAAAATTAATTTTTTTAAATATTATCAAAATAAATATATTTAAATATATATTTTTGAAATATGAAGAAATTATTTTTATTATTCCTCATTTTAAATCTTTTTAAATTATAAAAAAGTTTTTTTTTTAACTAATCAAATATTGTTATCTCATCTTTTATTAAAATGATAGTATATCAAGTTATTAAAGTTTTTATTTGATTATAAAAATTATATTATTCATTTTATTAAATTGTTATTATTGAAAATTCATTGAATATTATATTTATCTCGATAAATATTCATTAATACATTATAAGTATTTTTGGACTTGTACGTTAAATTCATACCCTTACATGTATTATAAGTTCTTGATCTGGATACTGGCTATACTTAATATGATTTAGAATAAGGAAAACATTTTCTGCAGTTGCATTTAATGCCATATGTCACAAACAACCTTTGGCTACGTTCTTCATTAGTCAAACCCGGCCAATCGAGATAAGAAATGGTAATTTGTTCTCCTCTTACGATTTTTCGTCTTGCTTTTAACTCCTCTTTAAGATCCAATTCAGCGTTTGGTTCACAATTATGATTGATGAGACTTGTCAAAGGTTGCAATGACCCGAAGTCAGGATGAGAATTTTCATCTTGTTCACCAAACATGTTGTTGCATAAGAAACACATGCAGGAAATAAAAACCCAGAAGTCAAAGCGAAGATCACCAATCGGAATCTCTAGATTTTTTATTACTATTTGATAAAAATCAAAAGACGCCGAAGGCAAGTGCAGTTGCGCGGCCATCCAACGTCGTAAATGTTTGATCTCTTCGAGGTCTAATGGACAGGTATCGCGAATTTTACCGATTGCAAAGAGTTTGATTAGGAAGAGGATAATTAGCGAGGAGGTTGATATTCCGGTTCTTACAACATTGTAAATTTCGCTGAAATCTTTTCCGCACATGACTTTATGATACAGATCATATGCCTGTTGATAGCATCTAATATTACAATATATCTCCTTACAATCTACTCTTGGACACAAATATCTGAATTTTTTCGAGATTTCTTGATTGCAATAATCGCATCGTTTCTTAATTTTAGAATTAACACAAAGGAACGGTTTTTCTTCATATATCAATGTGTTTGCCGAGATATCGGATGTCGCTTTTAGGCCATACTGATATTCATCTCCCGACTCTTCAAAAGTAACTTTGGCCACTTCGATCTTTGAAGAAGAAATTTCTGAAACTTTCTGTGTTAAAATTTGAAATATCTCTTCTGACATTCTATTCTCTTGTCTTGAATCCCACCAATACGATCCACGGAACGTACAGTTCGCACCATTTTTAACGAAATCTTTATACGTCGGACCATATTTCTTACATCCATCCTCCAATTTCTTTTTACATTCCACGAGTAATTTTTGTACATCAATCCAATTAAAAGGGACATCTTTATAAATATCTTTATCTTGTAGCAACTGCTCGCAGGAATAGATTGCATTTGGTAAAAGTTCCAGATCCGCAAATGCCTGAATTTCGCGAAACATGGCTTTAACTTGAAGCTGTGTCAATTTTTTTTCTGGTGTTAAATCTTCATTTTTACCATAGGCAAGAAGCGGCATTCTAAGTCCAGGCTTATTATTTAGGTAATCAGCAATAAATTTATTAATCATTGCAATTGCGCGTCTAGAGTCAATGACAGAAAGTTCTGGATGTCCGAGTTTGAGAAATGCTAGGGACCGATTACACCACAGAGCCGGATCATCAGGATTATTTATAATTCCACTTGAATATTCATTAAATGCTGTTTTGTAGTTGCCATTTGTTAAAGCTTGATTGCCAAGGTAACGATGATGTATCGCTTTTTTTGTTTGAGGATTTGAATGAAAATCCGCAAGCATATTGAGAACAGGTTTAGGAAACAATCGACATGATGCAAGCTTTATTAGAGATTTAGTAAATAACATGAACCTTAGTTTTGAGTTATTTTGTTATGAGCACTAGCAAAAATTTGTTTATTTACCAATGATTTGATAGTTTCTTCAACTTTCTTATTTATTTCTTCCTCCATTTCGCAAAGGAACTGGTATGAATAACTTTAAAATATTATACATGTGTAAATCATATTTAAACAATTGAATGATCATCAGCTAATCAATATTGATATACTGATCAGCCGATCAATGAATTTTAACTATTACTTCGAGAATATTCCTTTTAGCTATCTGATGTTATCTATTTTTATTTGTTAGTAATAATTCATTTAACTAATCCATTATTCTATCTTTTATTTAGATTGTAAAAAATCAATGATTTTATTTTGCATCTTTCATTTTAATTTTCTTTCATACTGTATTAACGTTAATAATTTATTTAATTCGGTATTCTATCTTTTATTTTCCATTTTTCATTTTAATTTCCTTTTATATTAATAATTTATTTAACTAATCCGTTATTCTATCTTTTATTTAGGAAGTAAGAAATCAATGATTTTATTTTGCATCTTTCATTTTAATTTTCTTTGATATTAATAATTACTTTAACTAATCCATTATTCTATCTTTTATTTTTTATTTAGAAATTATGGAATTTATGATTTATTTTGCACCTTTCATCTTTAATATTAATAATGTATTATTAATCCATTATTCTATTTTTTATTAAGAATATAAGAAACCAACAATTTTATTTTGCATCTTTCATTTTAATTTTCTTTGATATTATTTAACTATTCTATTATGTTATCTCTTATTTAGAATGTATGGAATCTATAATTTTATTTTGCATCTTCCATTTTAATTTTATTGATATTAATAATTTATTTAACTAATCCATTATTCTATCTTCTATTTAATTGGTAAGAAATTTATAATTTTATTTTACATCATTTTCTTTGATATGGTCTGGTGCAAAAAGATTGATACACCAATATAAAAGTAATAATTACTTTTAATAAAAATCATTCAAATTTTAACTAATCTTTATAATTTTTTTATATTAAATGAAGAATGATCTAAATTAACTTTTTATACTATTTTAATTATTCTATTATACTTTAATTATATAATAAATGAAGTATTGCTTTACTAAAAAAACTAAAATTATTTTTTTAAAAAAAAAGACATTTTAAATATTATTGCTATCAATTTGAAAGATTAAAACTTTAAATTATGCAACAGGTTGCTCTAGATTTGATAAATATATATTCTAAATTTCATAAAAATTGAATTCGTAATTATAAAGATATTAAGATTTAAATTTGAGTAATTAAATTATTTATTATATAATTTTTATATAATTTTAATCAAATTTTATATAGTAAAATTTAAGAAATAACAATTCAAGAAAGTTATATTAGTAAAATTTTTTTTATAAAAGATATATAATAAAAATTTTTACATTTAAATAAATCCCAATACCTAACAACTTAATTAAATAAGACAGAATTAAAATTTTATTTTGAAAAAATAATCTATTAATATTTATCTAATATATCAATCTTTTTACACTGGACCATATCAATATTAATTTAACTAATCCATTATTTTATCATTTATTTAGAATGTAAGAAATCTAAGATTTTATTTTGCATTTTTCATTTTAATTTTCTTTGAAGTTAATAATTTATTTAATTAATACATTATTTTTTCTTTATTTAAATGTAAGAAATCAATGATTTTATTTTGCATCTTTCATTTTATTTTTTTTTTGATATTAATATTTTATTTAATTATTCCATTATGTTACCTTTTATTTAGGAAATAAGAAATCTATGATTTTATTTTGCAGCTTTTATTTTAATTTCTTTGATATTAATAATTTATTTAACTAATTCATTATTCTATCTTTTATTTAGGAAGTAAGAAATCAATGATTTATTTTGAATTTAGGTTAGAAATTAACTATTTATTTTTTTTTTGAATTTATTATTATTTTTTTGTTTATTATACTTTTTTTATTAGATATCAAGTTATTATATTTCTTACCATTTGTCTGATGAAGTAATAAAATAAGAAATGATAGACTCTGTTTTCTTTTTTATTTATATTAATTTAACCTTTTATTTTTTATTTATATATAAGGGTTCAATACTATAAAGTATATGGAATAATATGTAACTCTTCAAATGGAGAATATTTTTTAACTATCACTTATACCAGTTTTGATAATCTATGTCATCATATTCGAAAGCAATTCACCAAAATAACATAGAATTATCACATACAAATGCTATATGATATTTTTTCTATTCATTCATAAGGTATTATGTATGATGATCTGCATCCTGGAAATATTCTTCAATTAAATGAAAAAAAATTATAATCTGTAATTTTGGTGCTGCAATTAGATAAAATTCCACTAAAAGAATGTTTGGTAATGATTGAGAATAATTGATATAAAGTTGAAGACAGTAAGAAAATCTGTCAAATGTTTGGCATGATATTATTCATTGTACTGGAAGTTTTCCGAGAAAAGATCCTCAGCATGACATTAGATGTTTATGCATTAGGAATGGTTATGTGAGAGTGATATGTTAGTAAATTTCCATTCGGTAAGCATTCTTTTAATATCAATTTAGCTTTGGATATATATGATGGATTATGACCAGAATTACTGGAAGAACTACCTAACTTTTATCGTGAATTAATTAAATATTGTTGGCATCAAAATTCCTCATAAAGACCAACTTCTAAAGAGATTTGTGATATCATTAAAAAATGGTATTGAGATGAAACTACTGAAGTAAAAAAATAACAAATAGATATCACTGAGAATTTTAGAATTGCATATATATCCAAATATGATTCTGAAGAAAGTTATAAGATGTATCTCTTGGCCATTTACACTAGTAAAATTTTACCAAATATATATCATAAAGGTTGGTATTTTTCAAAATTTTATATAACCTAGCCTTATAGTACTAATAACTAATATACGCTTATAAGATCAACATGAAATAAATAAAGATAAATTTATTAGTTATCATATAATAGTTATTAATTATTTGGATTTTTGTTTAATTTTTTTTAATGATGATGATTATATTTTAAAAACTAAATTTCAAAGATCCTCTTGAAAATGGGTTGAAAGAATCAAATAAATAGAGAAAGATTTCGAATCAATATGAAAAGAATATTAGAAAGATATATTTTTATTTTAAACCATATATTTCAAAACATATATATTATACAGTATATTAATTTTTTTTGCATGCATAACTGAAAGGAAATTAAGATACATTAGAATATCAAACACTTTAATATAATTTAAAAATCCCAACAGAGTGGAAAAAATCCAATAAGCGTTATCAAAAATAAATTTTAAGATAATAAAAATTAAGAAATAGATATTAGTATCTGAACGGTTAATAAAACAAAGTTTTAATTTGCAATAACTTTACATATTTTCTGCTTTAGCCATTTATATTCAAAATTATCATTTCCTTTTATCTCTTTTAAGACTTCATTTTTAAAGGACCTATGATAATTTATCAATAAATTATTTTTATTTATCTATCTCATATTATAGAAACTAATATAAAACATTTTGTAAAATTAATAAAAAAATGAAAATCAAAGTATAATTCACTCAAGCTTTATATATAAAGTAAAATGAACATTTAAACATGGAAGTTAAAATTAAATTTTTCAGGAATAGATTCAGACTGCTGTGATATTGTTAATATTAATTAACTTTGATAAATAAATGACATAATGAATAATCTGAGAAAGCAAAGTCAGATCCTGATTATCATAATTTCCATGTGATTTCTCAGATATTTTATGAAAGATTGCACATGATAATACTAGTACCCTAGTCATGATGAAAAAAAGTATTGATCACATGATTTTTCAATCAATATCCAGCACTTGGCTATATCATGTTATTACGACTGATGCTGAAGTAATGACACACTTTGCAAATCTTTAATTAGTCAAGTCAAGAAAATATTATTAGCTTTACTATAATACTATAATAATAAATATTATATGATTAATTATGATAATATATTTTAATATATTTAGTTTTTGTTCATCTTTATAATTATTTTTATTTATATATATGTGATCTCAAGTAAAAATATATAAATAATTCTATAGAATAAGCTATCTATTGGTCTTTATTACAAAAAAAAGATTTCAAGTTAACATCATTATTATAAAAATCTAAATAAAATAAAAAATTCATTTATTTTTATTTAAGTTTAAATGAATACATAATTCTGAATGAAAATTCAAAAATAATTTCATATACTATTATTATTATTTCTATAATTCTGGATTTCATGAAGAGAATCATCCAACTATCAAATATTTCACAATATCATCTAATTTTTGACTTTCTATTTTTCAGCATCTTTTAGTATTATATTTATAATCATATTCATATCTTTTTTTTGTAGTATTCTTTAGTATACAAGATTATATTACATTCTTTATTTTTTTATATTTTTTAGCATACATTGTTAATACTATTAATTATAATAGTTTTTCTCTTATTTTTTAGTATTTTTCAGTATATATTATTAATAATATATATATCATAATGATTTTTCAGTATTTTTTAATATAATTATTTACATTCTTCAGTTAATAAATCATATTATTCTTTTTTTAACTATTCTTTACTATTGTTCAATCTATTAATATAATAAAGAAATTATATAGAATTAAAATAGTATTACTTTTAATATAGTAGTTAATAAAAAAATATATAAAATGAATAATTATTAAATAAATTAAAAATAAAATTATGTATAAAATCTTTTCTTCAAGAGAAATACTTGTAAAATTATTCTATAAAAATTATAATTTTAAACTTATTGATTAGATTCTTTCTATTAGAAAAAATAATGAATTTATTAGATCTTTTAATTTAGAAAAGATAAAATATATCATTAATTAAATAATTTAATTAATTCAAGTTTAAGACTTTTAGCTAGAAAAAGTACAAGAATAAAAATAAATTGGTTAATAATTAATATATAAAATCTTTTTTATCTTATTTCATAATTATCTTTAAAAATATTTATATTAAATGATATCTATAAATGATAAAATTAATCTAATT